TGTTTATGACATTCCTCTTCCTTAATTTATCTCTTATAGAGAAAGGTGGTATAAATCCCTGTATCTTGGTTACCTAAGGTTATCCATTATAGGGCTTTCTTGCAACCTTTCTTTTGGGAAACTCATATATTTTCATTATTTTCAACAGGACTTTGATATTTGACAGAGACACTCTTCAGCTACTATGGGCCTTTGCTTTTTTCCGCATGCAATTTCTTGTCATGTTAAAAAGTACCCTTATGATATACTGGAACCATCAGAGGGTTGCCAAAGCCATTGTAGTAGAACCTGGGAGAAGATAATTAATTGGAGTTTCCCAGTTTCTCATCACTTGCATTAATCCCTGGATTCTCCTTTTGGATGTGTCATTTTTGACTGAAGGTCTACCAACTCCTATACATGGGGAAGAGTGATATGACCTCACACCCCTCCCTCCTCCCACAGTGTATTTGGATTATGGTGCAGGCATTTAATTACCTTATAATGTGATTTGATTTTTCCTACAGCGTTCATCCAGTGCACAAGGTGGATATACAAGGGGCAAAATTAAGGGCAGGCATAAATTTAGCAAATACTTAATCTTTGAGTACTTGGCTTGCAACCTAAAATTTTTTATTTAATGTAGTTTTTGTGTATGGAATATCATGTATAGTAAAAAAAAAAGCTCTGTCAGTCAAAAAGATGACAGTGTACAAACACTGTACATTGTAACTGGCAGCTGATAAACAAGGAATGTTTCATTACACCCTGATTTCAATATATTGTGTGCTTTTTGGCTGATTGCTTCTTTTATGTTATAAAACTATAAACTAAGAATAATTAGATGCCTCAGTTATATTTATAAATAGTCCTATAATTAGAAAATAAATATAGAGGTATTTGTTACTCTGAAGAAATAAAGTATCATAGATAAACACACTGTACCATGTGTTTAACTGTTAACTATATCACTAGACCTAATCTTGCAAATCTTACATGAGTAAATGACACTAAAGATGTGAAAAGACATTCACAGGGCCTATTTTAGGTTTAGGCAGCTTAGTTTAAGCTGCCTCAATCTGAGCTGGGATTGACATGAGCAAGCATTTGCTCCTTGCCAGGAGGAGGCATGGGCGGCTGGCAGCAAATGAGTCACAGGGGATGGCTGGCAGGTCTGCAGGGGGAGTTGGGGCGGGGGGGGGGGGGGGGGGGGGAACCTGGTGGTTAAGGGGGGAGAAACAGCCTGGTCAGGGTCAGGGGCGTAAAAACAGTATAGCCTCAGGGTTCAGGAGAGTGGCTGTTTTTTCCTAGACCCAGGGCTGTGGCAGGCAGATTTAAGGTTGGGTTAACCCATGCTGATCTAAAGTTATTTCTTGTCTGATGAGGGCTAACTTTAGATTGGGTGCACATTTTTGGGGGGTGACCTAAGCACTATAAACATTTGTACACCCAGGAATTTAAATTCCCTTAAGCTTGGTTAGGGTGATCTAACTAAATATAATTCTTGTACACACCCTGTTGTAACATGTCGTAAAATAGAGATGGGCTAAAAAGGCTGCACCCTTAAAGACCTGATTTTACTTTAATGGGTATGGAAAAGAATAAAGTGGAAACAGTTGCCATTATGTGGGTGATCCGTTATCAAGGGAGAGGAGGTTCTATTTCCAGCCTTGTGTGTTCATTGGGGGAGTGCAGTTTTAACTAGTAGTCAGAGCTGTAGGGGTGGAGGACAATATTGTCAATAGTACCAATGCCAATTGACTGGCCATATATCTCCTCTGCACCATGACAACCAAGGTTTGGGACTGCACAGGTTAGTTTTGAAGCTTTTTCCCGTATGGTACTTCCTGAGTTATATAATATAGTATAAATTAAGGTTTATTCTTGCTGTAAACATTTACCTACCTACAAGAACACTGTATAAAAATTCCGTTGAACTTAATTATATATTGTTTTAAAATAAAACAAGTGAGTTCACATACAATTACAGCCAACTTACAGCAGTCACTCACCAACTTAAATTAAAAAGTCTGCAACTGCAGAGTAATTATACTTTAATTGCACATTTACTACACCAAAAGTAAAAAGAATCTAATTGTTTGTATTTATAACATAACCACCATGTGAAAAAATACATTAGCATAAAGGGAGCAATTACACTTCAAGTATGAACAAATTAATTCAGATCAATAGTTAGGGTGTTTAAGTCCTTTTTCCAGTTGTATCATGGAGCAGGAGCAAAGTTAATTTTCAAACATATTCATTATTAATTGAAAAGCTGATTAAAATTGATTTGGGTCTATTTGGCATGCTACTATTCTCTTAGGATTTCAAAGATTGAATAGGTACTGCTTTCAAACACTCTTTTTTCCATAAAAAATATTGGCACAACATTTTGCTGCCCAGCTGTGCTCATATGAAGAGCTTGCTTAGCATCCAAAATCAAACATTTTTAGAAATAACACAGATAGATAATAGATAAAATGTAATTGCTTCTTTGTGAAATTGACTTCAGCATCCAAGAAGTCTGCTTACCCCAATTAATGCTATGGACAAAGCTATGGCCATTTTAATTGTTACAGAAATATGATATAGAATTCTATGAGCATTTCTAACCACATTGAAAGGCTTTCTATTTAGAAAACTCACAATATTAAATTATATTACATGCTACTTAGCTACTGGTGTAATACATACAGAATTTAATAATATTAAATTTATTATCATATACCTTTGGCCACTACACCTGTACTCATATACCTTTGGCCGCTACACCTGTACTTGCCCAATAATTTCTCCCAAGGACTTATTCTATATTACAAACTGTGGCAGGGCACCACCCACACCACTTTAAGGGCTTGAGCAAGCTGTGGAGCAGCCAGCAGGTGTGGTTAGGCCCAATAAGGAAGTCATATGACTGCAAGGGGGCTACCAGATTTCATAAGAGCTGGGCAGCCAGGGTATAAGCGCAGGCCCTAGGAGCTGAGCTAGCAGTTACATCTATGGAGCCAGAGGAATGACATCATTCATCCTGCTGACTACATTTCCCAGAACATCTGGAGGTCAGGGTAGGAACTATGGGGATGGAGGAGGTTCCTGGTTCTGGGTAAGACCTGAAACTGCACTCTACTGGAGTTGGATGATGTGGTTGGATGGTGTGGTGGGGCTGCCTGTGGCAGGGTAGTCTCCAGGAAATGCCACACCTGTGCCTTCCCAGTGAAAGGCAAGGATGGGATGCCATAAAGCTTCAGCACTTGCCGCCTTGTGGGTACCCAGTGGAGGAGAAAGGATAGGGGAGCACACCTTGACAGAAAAGCACAGGGTCCAGGCCCATTAATTGGGGCTTGAGACAAGGGCCAAGGCACACTGAGTGGGACCTGAGGCCCATGGGGTGTAAGGTCCAGGAGCCCGCTGAAGGGCAGAGCAGTGACCCTAGTGACGGGGCAGAGAGGCCAAGGTACGTCTGAGGACACCTGAGGCCCAACCAAATGGGCAGCCTCCCACATATAAATACCATTTTTTTGGAAACATCGAAGACATGGCAGGCGACGCAGGGTGGACTTCCCTAAACATGTGGGCAGGCCATTGTTGGGACCAGCCTTGAGATGGTCCCCGGTCACACAAACCTCTATACAACTTCAAGTTACTGTCATGATGTGGGCGAATAATGCCAAAGAAATGTTTCTCTGCCCTGAGCTAAAATTCCAATCTTATCTGGAATTCTCCTTTACTTGCACTAGATTATACTGCCATTTGGTGTTGGATTGATAACATTCTAATTTGGATCAGTGACTGATTTAACCTTATGACCTTTCAAAGTTAACTAAATATGCTTCCTACCAACTTTAGATGTCTAGCAAGTTAGGAATATTTCTTCAATAGTTAGATGTTATACTTAGACTATACTGTGGAATGTTAAGTGATGTTAAAGTTAGAACGTACACTAAACATTCATATGTTAAGAGTTAATACCATTTTCTGCCCGCAGTTGCCATAAGAGGGCTGATGTACAGGCGCATAGTCCGGGCACCTGGGGTACCTATACATGAGTGCTAAGGCTGCTCTGGTGTGCTGGAATTCCAGTGCATCAGAGCAGACTCAATCCACTGTGCTGGAACATGGCAATTGCTGGGCTCCAGCATCCTCTTGCATTTCATGTGGGCACTTGAACTAAAGCTCATCAAACAAGCTTTAGTTCAAGTGCCCCTACTGCCATTTTAAAGCTCAGGGATGCTGATAGAAGAGATTCAGTGGTGCTTTAATTAGAGCAGCTCTTGGAGTCTCTCTAACTAAAGCGCCCCTACCCCCAGAACAAGGGTAAAAGTACCCCATGGCTCTATCCCTGCTCCAAGGAGGGGAATGGTGCATCCCAGTATGCTGGAAGTCTTCAAATTCCTTTTTTTAATCTTTGTGGAGCAGACTGAAGTTACCCTGCCATGAGCTAGGTAGCATGGCCCAGACCTTAACCTTTGCCTGAAGTGGCATAATTTGAGATCCTCAGAGGCCACTTAGTATGAGTTAACGAGCTTTAACTTGTAGACACTCATGTTTTAAGGTACACCTGAGGTGCAACTTAACCCTTAGAATGTGCTTCAGAAAATGTGTCACTGTACCCTTTTTACAGGATGTATCATAAAAGCCCTTCTCTTATTCTGCTTTGGTCCTGATATACCATCTGGTGCAAAATGTTCGTAAGGCCACATCCCTGCTCTTGTGGGGCTTTTTTAGAGAGTCTAGCATTGCCAGCATAGCTTTGGTTCTCCCCTGCATTCCATCTTTGCACTAATTTTAGTGGGCTTTAGATAAGTGTTCCCCAACCAGTGTGCTGAGGCACAAAAGTGTGCCGTCATAAATGAACAGGTGTGGAATTTTGCCATGGCAGTGAGCAATAATGACCTACAATAGGTGTGAGGATGGCGAATGCCTTAACAGGTATGCTGCAGAAAATGTTTATTAATGTAAATGTGCCTTGGGCTGGAAAGGATTGGGTAATACTGCTTGAGGTCATGCCTATTTAATTTATTACAATTTTCTGTACATTTTTCAAATTAAGGTAATGTATAGCCACCTGGCCAATGTAAGTATATTTTTACAGCAGCAACACAATGGCATCTGAGTCCATTATAAAGACTCATATATGCTCCAGTACTGCAAGTAACAAATAACAATTAGATGCTGTGTCAGCCTTCTATGCATTCAAATGCATGGCATAGTAGCATGTTGCCTGACTTTTGAATTATTTCTTCATTCTTCTTCTTCAGGAAATTATGCAAAATAGAAATGTTCAATTGGGGATGTTTGAGCCAATGGAACCAAAGTAAAATAAAACCAGTTTGGAATGAATAAATATATGTATTATAGAAACCAGAAAGTACAATTTTATTATTGCCTTTCTAGCATGATTCCTAAAAATTGCTCAAAGTAATGAAGTCCTAAAACAGTCCTGTTAATATTCTACTCAAGGTTTCTGCTCTGCAGAGCTAACAAGAGCTGTATGCAAATGGTTTTGCTCATAGCAAAGGAATGTTTCATCATCAAGGAGCATGGCCTCTCTCTCTATGATCAAAAGAGAAAACATGATGATGTTGTAGTGTTATTATGACCAATCCAATGGTTTGCTCCTCAAAAATAGGGATAGTTTCCCTTGACACAATTTTATATTAAAAGTTACTTGATCATTAATTGTATGCACTGACACAGCAGAAATATTCCTCAAAGTAAGATTTCTTTGATGCAACAGATTTTTTTTTCCTTTTTATGCTGAAAATCCAAGCCAGATTTAAGGAAAATCTAATTATGTGAAATATTTTGTCTTCCCTTCTTTCCCTGAGGTCCTTCTGTTAGCCAGGGTGAAAGTATTCTAAGTGAAATTTTTGATAGTTATTTTTTGCAGAGTGAATAATAGGGTAAACATATCCCCTGTTTATTCATGCATGCATTCTTTTCAAATCTGCCTGTCTCCGCACTAAATGATTATGCTTAACAAAATGTAATTGGTCCTTAAAAAAAGACTGCATCCTAAAATAGCAAGATAAATTAAAGAAACAAGAAGGAAAGCTCTAAATCAACCTTATTGTTAATAATTGTTTTTCAGTAATTTTATGAAAGCAGAGAAGATCTTATGGTGAAAATGATGGAGGTAGTATAAAAAGCTCCATTAATATTTCTGGCTTTGTGTGAACTGATAGTATATTGTCTTTAGAATTTTTTTGAATAAGGCCCCCCCCCACATTTTAAAGTATGGTCACAATTCAGACAGCAGGTTCCTTGCCCAGGCCCTGGTCCATCAAAGTATTTAAGCAAATATAAAACTTAAATGAGAAATGCCATTGGACAATAGTGACGCTAATTAATTATTTAAAATTAGGTTTTAGTGTTCTGAAGGGTAGGGGTCTTAGAGAGAAATTTGCATTTCTTAAAAATCTGACTTTTTATCTAAAGTTTTGATTTTCTGTCTCTTTGCAGGTAACCCGATAGCTGACGACAAATCAAGTCAATCTCAAGGCTGATGACCTTAAATACAACGTACAGAAATTTCAGCAAGCAGTCCTTGAAGTGAGATTTTATACTGCTGGGGTTTGCCCTTCAGAACCAATTATTTCAATGAGAACCTCACTTGTTATCAGCAACAGTCTTGAGATCAAAACTACTGAAAAGTCATTGTGAACTTCTGTGTCACATAGATTTCAACTGATTCAACTGTGTACACTTGTAAAATTGCATTTGCTGAGGATTTTGTGGCTGCAATCTCAAGAGGTGATGTTCAAAAGGTGCAGAAAAGGCAGCAATCTTTCGGGTTCTCCATTCCAGACTGACAGCTTTTCATCTTTGCAAAGACAGCCTTCAAAATGTACTGGTCCTTTCACTCTAAAACATTTCTTGGTCCTACATTCAAATTGTTGGTGGGACTGCACACCACTTTAATCAAATTTCTGTTGCAGAAATTGTCCTCTGGCATGGCACAGTTTTAGACATTTTTATTTGTATTCTAATCTTAAAGTTCCAAAAGGCTACATATTTCAACATCTTGAAGTTGCTTTTGTTATAGGAATGGAAATATATATCCATTGTTAATAATTATTGTTGACAAGTAATAGTAATCTGAGTACATCAATCATATTAGAATGTATAGTCAAGCCTGACATGTTTCCCTAAGGCTAACTAACTACTGCAGCTCTTTGGCAGTTAAATAAGTGGTGGTCAAAACTCAATTACCATTTTCATTAGAAAGTATTTTATACCTTACAGTATACATTTCTGTTTAGTTTAAAGATTGGGGTTCCTGCTATGTACTTTAGTTTCTTAACAGTAAATTCTTCTAAGTTCACAATAAGCAGTAAATGATACTAACTAGTTCCTTCTTGTAAAGATAGAGAGGGATGCATGTGACTTACAATTCTGAGATTGGATGGTGATCATTCAGAATTTCTTTTAGTTATTATTTAAAATAGAACCTATCTTTTGCTTGGACACAAGTACTGTCTGGATGCTTATGTAGATGTCTCCTCAGTCTCTTCGTTGATAGAGGAAAAAATAATTCTCTTCAACTCTGCTGTTCATTAATATTTTGCTTACTGTTGTCCTGCCCAGATATTCTGGTCCTTCCTATAGTCATTTTCTCAAAATAACATTTATTTTCCTATTTTCTACTTCAGTAGTAATTTTTTTGAACTCTGTGATGTGCTGTTCCATGAAAACCCTTAATATTTAAAGGCCTTAAACATCTATGGACTTTTTTCTAAGTTATTACAGAATGTATAATTTTATACTCCATTTAATATATATAGCATCATCTGTAATAATAAGACAAAGGGGAGCCGACAATTCTTTGCTGTACTGTATTGACACTGCATAAGCATGCCAACTGGAGAGAGTGAAAGAGTTATATTATATGCTTTGTTTAGTACATTGAAATGAAGATCATACAAACTCAGATTTAGTCAGAAAAACTGTGGGGGCAATCTCATTCAAATGGCCTGCATGGTTACTAGCATTTTAGAAAAAGAGGGAAATCTTTTGTATTGTTACAAGTCATTGACATGGCTAACTAGATATAAATTAGGTTCCATGATGAATGAATACCCTGGGGTGTGCTGATCTGTCACACTAACCAAGGCTGTTCTAAGACCATTTAATTACCTCTGCTGTATTATTGCACAGGAGAGCTAAACATTAATGATTGTTGGAAATAAATTTGGGATGTATATTTTGTCATTTTGCTGAGGAATAATCAAAAGCACTGGTGGGGAAATATATTCTTTTCTAATTCAAATTAAATTAGGAGAAACTGTTTAAAACAGCAGTTAACTATCTCAGTATTTTAAAATGGATTACCATTGTGTGGATTGATGCTACAAGAGGTGCAAGAGTGAAAACAGCATCTTAAGGAGAAAAATCCTTTATTTGGGACAGTAGAAACTACAAATGTGTTATTTTTTAGAATATGAGTTTGGCCTCAATTTTGGTCAAAATTCTGCATCATGCTTCTTTCTCAATATTTGTTTTCTTTGACTTTGTTCTTAAAACCAACACTGCAAATACTGTATTATATACAAGTGTATCACATGCATATCAATAGGTGAAAATAAATGGATTTTCAAATATACAGAATAGATTATCTGCAGTAGATTAATGTTGTGACTATTCAAAACAAGTGAATAAAATTGTGATATAAAATGAACTCCCCTGTATGGATCTACACTTTGAAGATCTTTTCTGTTTACCCATAGAGCAAAGGAATTTTTCCTCACTGAGCAAGAAGGTCAGTGACTCTATTAATCTCATGTTTCTTTAGGAAAACTATTCTACTCTTTTCTGAAGGAAAGAACAAGTATTTGATCATTGCCTTGATAGATGCACATGTATTTGATCAAACAATAACTGTAGACTGTAATGGTAAGGTCAAACAAAATTAGGAATATCCATCCCATGGGAAATGATGACAAACATGCATTTGTTTTCAGTCTAGATTGGGAAAACAATTAAAATTTTGTTTTCTCCTACAGAATAGCAATACAGGAAAAATGTTTTGGAAAATAAAATATCTAGCCATTCTTGAAATTGAAATGGTTTGCTTCAGTTAGGTGATCCAATTAAAAAATAAATAAAAGAAACACTTTCATTTTGAGTTAGTTTAACATTAAACTGCATTTTCCTGTTGCGGTGCCTGTTTTCATAGAGACTAACATTCAGGAACTTGATGGTAACTTTCTTTCTAAAGGGACATGCTTCTTGGCTGGACGATGATACACCCAGAAACATCAGTCTCTCTTGATGCACAAACAGCTTTGTCAGAGGGAAGTCTGCATTGCATTATTGAAGCAATAGTCCTTCAAGTAGTCTGCCCCACAGGAGGAAATGAGGTCCCAAACTGCACCCTACTATAAGGCAATGCAGTATTCAAAACAAGTGAATATAAGTGGTGTTAAAAGAAGTGGTGTTCTGGTTAGTTAACAAAATGGAAAGTAATTTCTAATTCATATCATTCCAACAAAATACTTTGAAACATTAAATAACACTTTAAAAAGCACTTGTAAGAACATATCTTGCTTATGTCTTCAATATTGGTCAATAGAAGTAAGCACTAGCCTGTGAAATATCACTGGTATTGCCACTTTTAATATCCCTGGATTGATTGCTTCCAATATTCTTGTTAAAGCAGCCATCCTGATTGAGAATTTTATTCTGTAGAATTTAAGTAATTTGCTAGAGCACCATACTTAATTCAAAGCCATTTTCTTTCATATAATGGGTTTCAAACATGCTCAAATGCTTCACATCGTTAAACAAAATGCATAGAATTATTTTGCTTCGAAACTACAGCATGGTATAAAGTAGATTATTCTTTAAGTGATCTTTCCTGTAATTGTAAATCATACATGCCTATACAGTTTGTTTGCCACTTGTGATTACTTAGCTATATATCTATTTATACAGCACACAGATAGCTATACAGTATGCATATGAAGCACTATGCTGTGATTGACACCTCTTCCTGTTGATTTATGGACTCAAGCTTGAAATTTCTGTGCATCAGCCATTATCTGAGATAATGGTTTTGGTTTTGATGTTCGGTGCAAATGTTATCTTTATTTTTGTTGTTGTGGTTGTTTTATTTTCTTCCTGATAGTTAATGCCGATAGTTAAGTAGCTCAGCCTCAAAAATGTTACAGATAAACAATCTTATGGAATTAAATGGTTTTCTCACAATTTCAGTCCTATTAAATGGCATCAAGAATACTATATAATCGCTTTTGTAAGTCTTCACAGTTCAGTTCTTATTCTTTTTTTATGTTATGGCATTAGAAAATGTTCCCAAATTACATCTGTACAGTCATTTATACAAGAGCTTACAAAAAATCTGCTACCACTTAACAGTCATTCCAAATATTTTAGTGAAATGTCCTCATTGTCTCTCCATTTTGCATCCTCTGTTTGTTGCATCACATCTGTTCTTATTATAAGATGTAATAAATGTAAGATCTGAATTTTCCACTACATCGTTCTGACAGCTGATGACATGTATTGTCAACATCTCTTATTGTAAAGACCATCTTAAGACTGCCTGGCAAGAAAACTGTTTCTAGTGACATATCAAATATTATTCTATGCGTGCATGTGCATACTCTCTCTCTGTCTCTTGCTCTCTCATTCAGATTAAGTGGTATCCCAGACCCAGAAATAGCAAAGGGAAGCCCTGGTAGCAGAGTTCCACCAATGGTGGTACTGTAGATAAAACATCCCTTCCTTTCCCCTGTTGCTGAATTTGGGGGGGAATGGGGAAAAAGCAAGTACCAACAGGCTCCACAGCTGATTGAAAGCAGGGGCTCTGGCAGGCCTCATGCTGGTGAGTTCATGGAGCTCACAGCATATCTGGGGCTCCAAGCAGCTAACCTGTTGGTAAGCACTGAGAGCTCATTGGCACCTAATCACAGCAAGGGGTTGCAGTCAAATTCACCTTTAACTGTGGGGCACATGCACAATAAGCTCTTTGCACTGTGCTTGACCCCAATATACCCCTGTCACTGCAATGTTGGATCCACCCATGCTCTTATTCAACTGTGTTAACAGTACCTTAACAAGAGTTGTAGACCCTCAGAAAAAAAAATCTGTTTTATTAGTTGCATACCTCTTAAAAAAGACACAAGATGTTCCTGACATTTAGACGCTGCTGAACTGGACTAGATTTGAATTACTAAAAATGGTTTATTTTCAAATGAATTTATCTTTTCTTGTTAATTTGATGAAGCATTTTCTGGATCTATGATTTATTCCCTCAGTTGTATGGAGCAATGTGTAGGTAGACTGGAACCATATTTCACAATTATTCAAAATATTGATCTTCAGTGATGGAAATCTGGGAAGTCCAATGCTAGTTACATGCAATTCCTTTTCAAAAACCCATCTTGGGCTGAAAGAATATTAACTGGAGTATTAGACATCTTTAACATTTAACTTGCTTTGTCCAGCTTTAACCCCCATTGCCTGGATGCAGCAGAACTCTACGAAACTGGGTACCTGCTGCTTTATTCATGACACCATCTTGAGTAGGTATCTGCTAATCCTTTAGCTTCCTGTACTACGTCTTTGTGGTTAGTTCTAGAAGAACAAATTGTTTACATAGCTGGGCCATTATTTGGGAGTAAAGCGCATAAAACCTCACTTCAATTATGAAGAGTTTAACTCACTTTTCTTTCATTTCCTTTGCCTTATCCCCCCCCCCCCCTTGAGATAGGGTTTAGCAAGTTCTGATGAAAATCCAGTGCAGCTGAGAGAGGTAAGTGCTTTATTAATAATGTCCTGGAAATGACACAGGAGGTTTTCAGTACTTTTGGGTGCAGTATGCTAGTTACATCATCAGTTCTGCAATAGTTTCCAGCATTCAGCTGGAATGCAAATATTTTTGTCTCAGCATAGATAATCTGTACCTTAATAGGCTCACTGATCATAAAGCTGATGGACTGGCTGCCTCTGTGTGGCAGATTACCTCAGTAGAATTTACAAATGGAAGATGATGATTTTGCTAATGTCCATGGGCAGGTAGACAGAACTTGGTCCCAGCTGCTCTGTCTAATGTTCATGGCAAAAGGGACTTGAAAACAATGCCTCCATATGCCATAATTGCTTGAATTATTTTTCAGGCATATTCCCTTGTCATCTTTCATGTGTAGAACTCATTAGATTCCTAGTGGGAGAACATATGGAGGGGGAAGATGATGGAAAACACTGTAAAACAGATTGTATATTTACATTTATATTATAAAAGACCTCTGTGTACACAGCAAACAAAATGGAGAAAGTTCAAACTCTTCCTTCCCACATCATAATCGAGTAAACATTAATCAAACTATCATCTCAGTTCAATTAGAATACTCTTAGAAGTACTGCATGGAATCCTGGATCCATTGATGTCAAAGGGAGTTTTGCCATTGACTACACTGCACCCAGAATTTCATCCGTGTCTCCTAAACTCATAATGAAATCATGTATTTGCAAAATGCTATGCTGGAGCCCCACTGATTTCCTTGGACTCTGTGAAGTCAAGGGACCACTCACATGGGCTTGTCTACAGTTTCAGGTCTTAGCCTTTATATTTGCTACAGCCATGACTTCTGTGTTGTGACTCCTGTGACTTTTAGGATTTTGCTTTTCCATAAAATTAGGCTTTTTCACTCAGTTGCCTTGTGAACAGGATTTTCCCAAGAGTTTGTATTAATATGCTTCTTTATCCACTAGAAAGGTGGATTTTTCAGTGGTTTTAAACTATTAGGAATTTTTTACCTTTTCACATGATTTCCTATGATGAAAATACAATGACAACTTAAACTATTGTGTATAATAACTCTTCTTGTTTTTAATTTACAATGATGATCATTTAATGGTTTTGTCACAACAAAAGCAAAACTGTTCCCCTTTTACCCCAAATATTCATGCATTCTGTAGGGAGAGTGTATTCCACTAGAGTTAAGATGTAATGTAGTTTAGTGACTTAACAAACAGGAAGAACCATTACTGCTCAACTCTTAAGAATAAAATGTCTGCAGAGTTAGTGCCACTTCACTGTGCTCTGCAAGCTGAACAAAGTGACATGGCAGAAGGATGTAATTTAGGACACTGGGGGATTGAGACCACTACATGACTAGGAAGGAAGCAATGATGTGATAGTCTCTGTACTAAAATCATGCTGTATGAAATAATGTTGCTGGGGCAAACAGCACCACTGGCAATATTTTATATAGTGTTGCTTCTTAGAATGGTTGTTCTTAAAAATGATGACAGAGTTCATAGTGGATGTGTGAAAACCCAAAAACAAAAGCTATCCAGGAACAGGAAGTAGAACCATTGAGCCATTTATGTTATGTTCATACATTGACCATTTCATGAGCCCATGCCAGTAGTTAAAATGTACCTCATGGCCTGATGGAGATTGTTGATGTCTGATTTCCACCTATGTGTACTGCAAATCAGTGGGACAAATGCATTTTTCAGGTTCTTATTAGTATACTCCTTTCTTCATTATATTACTGGTTATTCATTCTTTATGATACATCTGTATCATCCTTTTCATCAACTATTGTGCACTTTTTTTATAGTGTTAAGGCCTATGAAACACCTTATAGTTATATGTTCGATTGGTAATAGGGTAAGAAACTAGAAGAAGACATGCTGAGACAGAGTTGG